CTGCCTCCCGAGTGCTGGGATTAAAGACGTGCACCACCAACGCCCGGCTCATGTTTTAAATTTTAACCATTATTTCTCTCACATATGAAATGTTTGCTTGCTTTTTTCCCCATATATGCCTGATCATTTTTGGGTAATATGGTATTGTGCTCATATTTGTCATTCCATTGTTTTGAGTATATCTAAACATTTAGTACAATGTGACTTTATGATCTCTACCTAAAAATTTCTTTTTTAAAAATTTGGTGACAGAGTTTTCTTTTATTGTGTTTCAATATCATAGCTGCTTACCACATATCTTCTTCATTAAAAAATCTAGATTAGCAGTTTTTAAAATGTGGTATTTTTATTATTTGATTTTCATGTGTTTTGGTTGTATCTAGCCCCTCTTCTGCCCTCCAACCCCTCACAGACTCCTGATCAAGTCCTCCCCAGACTCATGACTACTTTGCTTTCTGTGCCCTCTGTGCTGTCCATATGCACATGGGTGCCAGGCCACCCACGGGAGCATAGGCAGCTACCCAGGGCCCTGCCTCTGAAGAAAACGGATTCTCCTTCACCTCAATGGTCAATAGCTCCTATTTAGGACTGGGTCCTCATGAAGAGCTCTCCAGCCCATTTAATACCTAAAGCCCTTGCAGGGTGTGGAGCTAAGTTGGCAATGGAAGTTTGTTTCTTTGGTATTTGGTAATCTTTGATAATGGGCTTATATTTGGTTGATTTTATTCTTTGAAAATCCCAGCAAAGATAGGTCTGAAGAGATTTCTCAGTGGTTAGAATACTTATTCTTACAGAAGATCTGTGTTCAATTCCCAGCAGTTCTAAAAAGAGATAAATCTAAAGAAAAAAAATTAAAAATTACAGCACACTAGAGTGAAAATGCTTCCTTCTGCTGCTGGCGAGGGATGTCCTGACCAGTGACTACCTTTTCCCCAAGTGAGTCCTTGGTGTACCTTCAAAGTCTGGGGTTCAGCTCCTCTAAACTGCAGATTCCCAAGATTTAGTCTCTTAGGAGACTGCATGCACAATTCAGAGAGCCTTTATCTTAGTCATTGAAAACAGACATTTCCCTTAGTTCTCACTTCATTCTTATAAAAGAGCTCAGGTCTGCTTTGGAGGAAGGGCTTGGGTCTCGTCTGTGAGCCAAGTGGGCCGACAGGTTACCCCACCTGAGTGCAAAGAGGGGCATCAACATGTTCGGAGGCAGAGGCGGTGAGCAGCTGGAGAGGAGCAAGGGAAGCTGGGAGTGTGTGATGCCCTGTTTCTTCCCTCTGCTTCAGCCCGATGATGGGATTCTGCCCTTACACGAAGTCAGCCGCCCTTAGCATAAAGAAAAACGCAAATCTTCGGTCGTTTTCTGTTGCTCATAGGAGTTGGGAAAACATAGTGAATCTCAAAAAAGGAATACATTTGGGAGGGTATATTTTTGTTTTGTTTTGAGTCCTTTCTTCAAAGCCTTTTACTTCCTCTATTTTTAGAGCATGATGGCATTCTCTAAGAGTTCCTCCAGGCTTTTGCTGGATCATGTCTACGTATCAAGACACAGACAGCAGGACTCATGCAGAGGCACACATTCAGACACATATGCATCTCGGAAATGGCGCATGCGCACACACATGCACACATATGCACACACACATACACACACACACACACACACACACACACACACACACACACGATTTGTGTACATCAGAGTTCACATTAGAACAAATAGTGACCAATATGAAAAGCCATATCTGCAGTGTCCATACATGTTCATTGGTGCACAGCATATTTATGTGAACTTAATCCACTACCAGGTTTAGGGTAGGAAAGGGAATCATGTTTTCAGGGAGGATTGGAAACCTAGCTGAATTCCTAGACTAGGTTAGGAATGCTAGGTTCTGTATGGTGACCAGAGAATAATACACCCAGGGCTTAGAAAGGGGCAGGTTCCTGAGGCCACTGGGCTGCTGTCATTTTAACTGACCACTGGCACTCAAGTGAAATGACCAGATTTGGATGGGGGCTGTTCCAGCTCAGGGCAGAAGACCCTTGAACATGGACCTTGGAAGGGCACATGGAGGTGAGGCACTGAGCATTGTGGGTGGAGAGGTTAGTGGTTCCACCATGAAGCAAGTGTCCAGGAGCTGTAAGTTTACCTGAAACTGGGGCCAAGCACAGCCAGGTGCTGCTTCTGACCTCAAGGGAGCGAGGAGGGTGGTGCAGACACAGTTGGGCCTGTGGTAGGAGATGGGAGGGCAGGAAGCAGAAGAGTCTGATCTATACACTTTCTCTTTGTGCAAGCCAGACGCATAAGTTACCTTTTTAAGTTTTTTTTTTCCAGCTGGAACGCACTTCACAGCTGCCCTGTTTACTTACTCACCATCTGCGCTCCTCAGAAACAGTTTTGTTCCTGTGGAAAAGGAAGCCAGGCCAGGTTGGACAAATATTTCCTCAGCCGGCTCCTTAGCCTCTCTGTCTGAGGGAGACCATCTGGCCACGGTGTCCTTTAAGCAAAGGCATAGAGAGGATGCCTAGGGCAGATTCTAGAGGATGTGGTCACATTAACTGACCTCCCCCAGGCCCCTGTTGTCCAGCATGGCTGTTTAGCATCCGGGTTCAGAGAATAGGGAGCTGGGTTCTGGCTTCTATGGCCTGGGGAAGACACCCTCAGTGATCCTCTGTTCATGACATTGCCGTTAGGCCCATAACCTCAAGAGCACAGGTACACAGAAAATACAAAATAACTAACAAGTAGTCAGTTTTGAGCAGCCAGTGCCCTTGTTTTTAGTGTGAGGTAATGGTTAGTTTATGTCATTTAATTTCAAATGATGTATGTCTTTAACAACCAGCTCACAAAGTTCTGGAAAAATTAACAGTCAGCTCTTGTGAGCCAGTATGGACTGACTCCAGTGCTCCATGGCCACAGTCCCTCCTTAGCCTCCAGAATGAATGTGTCCATGTTAAGTCACTTGCATTAGTTGCCAAGGCCACATCACCAAAGGAGGGTTGGAGAAGGCTTTGTGTCTTTAAGATCTTGTCTTCAGAGGGCAGAATAGACACCTGCTCGGGCAAGACCAAAGCTAGAGCAACACTCTGTAGTTTTTCCTTCTTTCGCCAGCCATGAATACTTGACCATAACAGCTGGACATGCAGGTCGGCCATTCCCCTTGGCCAGCTGCTTCTCACTGTGTATGCTTCAGTTCATGTTGTCAAAATCGCCGCTCAGTGGCCAGCCTTATCCACTTAAGGCCTCCGGCTCTAAGGAAGGATTCTCTGCTCTTTTAGCCAGAGCACACTAGAGTGTGTGTGGCCTGGTTTCCCGCAATCTTCCTGGACTTCATTTGAAGACATGGGTACTTTGTGTCTCTCCAAAACTCTGACCTGAGAAAGAAAACAATTTCCCTGACTGAGGCTGAGGGAGGCTGTACATCCTTCCCTGATCCCTGACCATCTGAACAATTGATAGTTTTACCAAAAGCATCAAATCCGGTTAGTGGAGATTTATAGCGAAGAGAGGACTAGGGCACTGGAAGCGGTGTAGCACTCCCACTGGCACTACGGCTTAGGGCATGTTTTCTAGCCCCAGCACCTTATGAGGGGTGCATCAAGTATGCCAGGGCAGGAGGGTAAGAACAGACAGAAATTATAAGGGTCAAGGGTGGGGAAGGGGATGAATGTGTTGATAGACTTGTTTCTTCCATTTTAGGGTTGTCTGCGGTAACTACCGATAAGCTAGACGCATGCCCACAGTTTTTCATTCCTGTCAGGATCTTTGACAGTCATGTCCTTCCTAACCCAGCGTGGATTCTCTGGCCTGTCCAGACACCCACCTTCTTGTTCTTATCCTCTTCCAACATATTATCTGAAATCCCTAACGAATAGATACAGCTTTCTGTCTGTCTGCTCTATACCATTCTCAAGCAAGCAGACCTAGCTACGGGAAAGTCCACTGCATCCCTAGATGCAAGATGATGCATCTCTACGGTGCCCAGAACTCCCAGTCAATCCCACACACATGCTTCCCAGATCCCAACTGAACAGCCCCAACTCTCATGGTGGCAGGTACCTTCTTTACTGTATATTGGATGAGCCCATTGCCACCTGTCCACTCAACATCTCTAGCTCTGAATCTGCCCCCCCCCCCCGACTACTGAGATGTCAGTAATTACTTTTATCCTGGACCCAAACTCCACATTTTTTAGACTATTAAAGCTGCAGGGGATCTGGAAGGACAGCATCTCATGTATGCTCCCACCCCGGGCTGTGTCCGTAAAGGACAGGGAAGGCCTTACTCAGCTTGTACCATCACAGCAACATCGATGTCTGTCCTCCCACGCAGGGTTAAAGCTCATCTTCTCCCCTCCTTGAGAGCCTTGCATGGGTTTCTCAGTGATGCCCCTCTGGCTTCCAGATGACTGCTTTCTTGATGTAGACCTTGTCCTTATGGCCCACTCATCTGGTTAGGCCCATGGTCTCTCATGTGTCTGTTGGGAGTCACGTCTAAAACCAGGAACATGCGAGGTCAGTAACGGCCTGGGGCAAGAGCCTTTGGGGAGCTGCAATTTCAGATACTGGGAACCTGACCTTTCCCCCACTTAAAGGGCTGTGGTTATCAGTCACAAGGCCACTGACCACTAAGTCTGTAGTTCACTTATAGTAACAACTTGACATATCCTGTGTTGTGTTGTAATCAGTTAGCTTCCTGTTGACAGGGTCCAATTATATGATAGTTTTCTGTTAAATCTGTTCTATTTCTTCCCTGTGAACTATACATAAGGTGTTGTGTTTATTAATAGGGTTGTTTGGCATAACCATCAGCTTATGCAAGAATTTCTGGTCCCAACTTTTCTGTCTTCTTGGTTTGCTCATCCCAGTTCTCCCCATAAGGTTGACATGTCCACTGTCAAATGGATTTTTTTAAAAGAGGATTTATTTCTAATTACATGCATTGTGCAAATGAGTAGGTGTCCATAGGAAGCAGAAGAAGGTGTCAGATTCCCTGGAATTGTAGTTACAAACAGTTGTGAGCTGCCTGACATGGGTGCTGGGAACCAGACTTGGGTCCTTTGCTGGAGCAGTATGCACTCTTAACCAATTAGTCATCTCTCTAGGTCCTGGACACTGGATTGTTTGCGGTAAGCCTGGGCTCTATGAGGTTTATGAATTCTTGATCTTTCCCTCTCCACCTCCCTAGTGCTGGGGTCACAAGTGTGCACCACCACACCTGACTTACACATCAGGGGTTTAAGATTTTCCATACTGCCACGTACAGCTTCCATTCATTTTTCTTTGATTTCTGAGGTCTTGCAATGTGGCCCAAGGTTGAACTCACAACACTCCCACCTCAGCTTCCTGGGTGCTGAGTGCGGAGTGCTGGGATTACAGACCCACACCTGCTTTAAACTGCTGTACAAGATACACCGCGTGTCTTCTTGTTACTGAACAATTGAGTTGCTCATTTTCACCACAAAAGGCGTTGCTCAAATGAAGTACATTTCCATCATGTGAATTTCCTTAGGATCTAGTTGAATAGGATTCCCGCATCTTGAACTTACTACACACTGCCAAATGATTATTCCAGAATATGTTTTTTTTTGTTTTGTTTTTGCAGTTATGTCTCAACCAGGGGTGAATAAGTTCACTGCCTTGCCATTGTCAAACCTTAAAAAGTGCAGTGTGATGGGAATTTGCGCGTTGCTGACTTCTGGGAAAGCTGGGGATCTTTCACAAATACATAGACATGCCCTTTCTTTTGTGAATAGGTTGTTTATATTGTTTATTTGTCTTCTGGGCTTATATTTGTCTTAATAATTAAGAGGTTTTTTAAAATTATGTGTTCAGATCCTTTGTTCAGTTATAAATGATTTCTCTTTTTTGTGTAGTGTTGTCTTTTGATTTGCTGTATTTTTGCCATACAGATTATAATCTTAAAACAATTAAGTTGATTATTTTTTTATGGCTTACAGTTTCCAATTGTATGCATTTCCGGTATTACTTAAAAAATTTCTTCCCAATATGAAAGACATAAAGACATGTCCATATTTCCTCCTAAAAGTTTGGCTGTGGAAGCAGTTAAGTGTCTATTCCACCTGGAATGTATTTTTGTGAGTGCTATAATTTTATTTTTTCCATCTGGTTGCTGACTTGTGCCCGCGTCATTTCCAGCAGCATTCACTCAGAACCCCACCTCTGCTGCTAGTCAGGCTTCTACATCCTTGCGAGTCTGTTTCTGAGTTCTCAATCTGTTCCTTCAGACCCTTTGTCTCTCCTGTAGGAGCAGCCAAGTCTTCATTGTGGAAGATTTCACATGTTCTGGTGGGACTTCCTTCCTCTGTCATGGCTGCGTTGATGCTTTGCCTTTCTGTATTCACCTATGATCAGCCAATCAGCTTTTGTTTGTAAACATTTAAAACGATTGCAATACGCAATAATTGCACATTTCAAACACACAGTTGATAAGTTTTGACAAATGTCTGTACCCACATAAGGTCAGTGGCATCACCAAATGTTGAACTTACTGGTGGCAGACAGGCTGTGAGATGGAGTCCAGTCATCCCCATTTCCAGCTGTCTGTCCTTGTGTGGGTGGGAACTGTGACCTGCTTCTCATCAAAAGAACACTTTATGACAAGGATGCTGGGATATCATGTTCATGGCTGTGCCACATAAGACTGTTTTCCATTTTTCTGTACATTCTCCTTTGCTGGTTTTGGGTAAAGCACGTTGCTGTGTTGTGAACTGCCCCAAGCAGATGTCTATGTAGAGGGCAGCCTCCAGCAAATAATCAATAAGAAACTGAGGCTCCAGATCCAACAACTCACAAGGGTCTGAACCTCACCAACAGTCAGATAGCCTTGGAAAAAAAGACCCTTTCCCAGTCAGGTCATGAGATGAGTCTGTAGCCCCAGGCAGCACCATGGCTGTACCCAGACAGAGAGCATGAATCAGGAAGCCATTCTGTACTCCTAATCCACAGGAATTGTGCAACCAAAAGGCATTGTGTGATAGGCTAACCTTGTAGCAATCTATTACACAGCAATGAAAAGCTAGTAACTGTCCATTGCTTCTAAAAGGATGCTTGTGCCTCCTCTCCTCTCTTCTCTGGCTCCATCTTCAAGCAACTGATTGTTTGCTATCACTAGGGAGCCATCCATTTATTGTTAATTGTTTTAGTTACCATGGAGAACAATGGTCTTCATTTTGACATTTCCTTGCATGTCGCTGTACTTTGCTCATATCTGACAGATTCATCGTCACTTCAAGAATTTGAACAGCACTTAATACAATCAGGTCTCTTAATTTCATCCATTCTCCAGGATGGTGTGCGGGTACCTGGGATCTTTTCTCGTGTGCTTATCCGCCATCACTATTTTTTCAGAGATGTGTTTCCTTGAATCTTTGCCCATTTTTTATGATAATAAGTTATAATAAAATGCCCATTTATAATAAGTCCTGGAATTAGGCATTGTAAAAATCTCTCCAACTGCTTTTCTTTTCTGCTTCCATATAAATTTCTATAAACCTTCATGGAAACTTGATTCTGATCTATTTAGAGGAGTTATAATTTAAGTTATAACTTGTTATAAGAGCTAGTTAGAAACAAGTCTAAGCTAAGGCCAAGGTCTCATAATTAATACAAAGTCTCAGTGTCAGGAGCTACAGAAAAATCCATTTATGGTCGGGGGGAGGGGGGAGGGCCGGGGTGTCTTTTTTTTAGGCAGGATCTTGTTACATAGCTCACATCGGCCTCAAATCATTAAGTAGCTCAGGCTGGCCTCCCACTTGAAGTGATCCTCCTGCCTCAGACTTTGGAGTACTGAGATTATAGGTGAGTCTCACCATGCCTGGAGTAACAATTCTTAGTATTCTGTTTTTTTTTTTTTTTTTGCAGGGGGGGTTCTCTATTTTAAGATTTTTCTCTTTATGGTTAGTTTTAAGAAATTTGAGGGCTGGCGGGATGTCTCAGTGGGTAAAAGCGCTTGCTATGCAAATCTGGTGGCCTTAGGTCAAGCACTAGAACACACATAAAGATGGGAGGAGGAAATGTACTCCCCAAAGTTGTCCTCACGTGGTATGGCACCTGTATTCACACATCACACCCACATACGTACACATGCACACACCCACACATGTATGCATGCACACATCCACAATGTGCACACATCCACAACCCACACACACACACACACACACACACACACACACACACACACACACACACACACACACACACACACACTTTAATAAACAGAGACTGGGTTATGGTGCACCTGGATATAGTTTCTTTGATGTTTCTTCTGCTTTGGTGTTCATTCAGCTTCCTGAATATGTATATAGTTTTCATCAAACTCCAAATTTTGGTCATCTTCAAAAAAAAATCTTTTCTGCCTGGGATTTTCTGGGATTCTGATTACACATTTATTAGTTAGCTTGATGTTTCCCATCAACTTCCTGACACTTTGTGGGTTTGTGTGTGTGCATGTGTGTGTGCACATACACATAAGTACATAAGTGCATGAGTGTGCGTGCGTGCGTGCGTGCGTGTGCGTGTGTGTGTGTGTGTGTGTGTGTGTGTGTGTGTGTGTGTGTAGTTGGCATGGACTTTCTTCCTCAATCATTCTCCACCTTATTTTGTGGTACTGAACCCTGCTGTCCAGAAAACCCTAGGGGCCTTCCTGTCTCTGCCTCCCTAGAGTTGAGATTTTAGAAGTGAGCCACCGCACTCAGCTTTCTATGTGGGTGCTGGGATCACTCTCCGGTCCTCATGTTTGCATAGCAAGCTCCATACCAACTGAGCTATCTGCTCAGCCCCAGACTTTCTCTTGCTGTTACATTCTGAATTGTTTCTATTAGTATGTCTTCAAGTTCAGTGCTCTTTACTTCTAGTGGGGTGGCCCAATATGTGGTCCACGGGCTGCACGTAGCCCCGTGTGGCAGAGGATAGGTGTGAATTCAGCCCACACAAAGCTGTAAATGTATTTAAAACATTATGAGAATTTATCACACTTCTTGAGTGTGAACTTTGTAAACAACAATGTTGTGTCACAGTGTCTGTGCTGCCTAGTTTTATGTCAACTTGACACCAGCTAGAGTCATTTTGGAAAAGAAGCTCAGTTAAGAAAATGCCTACAGCAGATTCACCTGTGGGAAGCCTGTGGCGCATTTTCTTATTGATGAAAGATGCAGGAGGGCCCAGCTCACTAAAGATGGTACCATCCCCAGGGATAGTAGCCCTGGGTGAGATATATATATAATCAAGCTAAGAAAGCCATAAGGAGCAAGCCTGTAAGCAACACTCCTCTATGACTAATACTTAAGTTCCAGGCTTCAGGCCTCCTTGAGTTCTTCCTGAGTGATAGACTGTAATATGAAACTGTATACTGAAAGAAACTCCTATCCTCCCCAAGCTGCTTTTGACCATGATGGTTATCACAGAAATAGATACCATAAAACAATGTCAACAGGTTGAACATGCCTGAAATGGTTTCTAATCTGCTGTTCTTTTCTTTGTTTTGCGGGGGGA